ATAATAAGGTTTCATGTCAAAATCAAAATTAAAGTGTTGTGGTGAAATATCGTCTACAGCAAATGCTAATTTTGACCAGTCGTACGTTAATTATTTTATTCATGTGGGGTGTATCACTCTATTATTGGGGCCATGTTTGTGAAACATCTTATCGATAAGAACGAGCTGTAAAACGGTGTGGATATTTGCAGGTGTACCAATTGTACAGCCTGATGTAATAATTATGTGATTTTATATTATAGACAATTATGAAATACGATATATATTAGCGTATGCAAATGCAATAATTCAGGTAATGTATCATTTTAAGCCTTTAACACTATAGCTAGTTGATTTCTGATTAATTGTGATATTTTTGTTTTTTGTGGCATTAGTTAGTTTGAAATATTCCTAAATCTTTGAAACTCAAGATCACGAGGTACATTTGGTTATACTTATTTTTTCCTGCTATTTGAAACTTTGTGTAATTTATTATTTGTGTAAACTTTGAAAGAATATAGCATTTTTGGTTAAAATATAACGTTGCTGTCATGAGAACTTTTCAACGAATCGCACTCTGTGCAGTATCCACTGCCACATGGAAGCGCAATGTTTGTTTTTTTACGTTTTCAGTCCCGTTCGTACGAAGTCAGACAACGAAAACGTATGCTCCTACAACTTGGGTATGCTTAGTTTTGCAACCATTTTAGGACTACTATAATCAACAAGAATAGACATTTCTGCTATAATTCCAAAACTGGATCTAAATGATATAAGTATAGATATCTGTGCATTGAGCCTTGCACGTCATTTTGATTTTCAGATCGAATTCCAAATTGTGACTGATGGCAATTGATTTAGTGAATGCTGCCCCCCATGACATGATTTGGCTGATCATTTCAAACTAAAATACATCATATAAACATTATATGCACATGCTTGTGTTTCACAATGCAAACAACAAGATGACGTCCATTTTTGCTAATCTGGGACCGAATCAAATCAAACTATACACAAACAAATAAACCAATATCGCCAAGTTATGATTCTAATCAACTCACTGGTTTATCACGAGACATGTGTATACATTCACTTCTATATAAATTGGCATTTGAAATGAACGATCACACTGTCATGTCATGACTTGTGTTGTTTATATTATGCAAATTAGCATAAATCACGCAACCAAGCCTAAGAGCATTGGCTAGCTTTGTATTTTATTTTGAATTTATTCAAATCATAATAACCAGTGTACCATGTATTTATATGGGCTCTACGCAAGTTGCTGTGGAACGCCGGTCGATGAGCCGGTTGAATTCGAGAAAACAGCATTAACTCAACTTTGAAGTAATCTCGAGCAACCAAATGTATATATTGCACACGTAAGTGTAATCATGGAGGTATAAACATACCTCCATTGTGTAATCTTGTTACACTGTTCAGGAGAGTCTCAAGAACTATCCCAAAATACAATAGGTGATTTTCCGAACAATTGCGAGATCTCGCGAGATGCATGAAAGACGCGCGTCGAACGTCTGCCGTTTGAACTAGAATTTCTTTATTTCGCAGCTTACATTGACCGGCCGATCTTCGACAGAGGAATATTGCTTCCGAATACCCTCACTTAATCGAAATTGCCTATCATCAAATGTGGACAGCACATTATTAAGCATGGAAATGTCCCCGAAATACTTTCGCGTTTGTCGAATCCCACGCGATGTTTGACGCGACTACGACGCTATGATCTTTGTTTGTCCTGTTTTTACGTTCGATTTCACGCATAACGCGTGATTATCGCAGTGTACGGAAAATGGTCTATTCTGAGAGTTTATGACCGCGGTTGCCAGGCGTGAAATTGTCCGGATGTCCGCCCCGAGAATAGATGGTTGTCAATCAACTGGACAAATCTACTCTATAAGTACTCATGAAACATTCAACGCACACTATCTAGTGGAATAAAATATCTATCTTTATTTGGCATTACACTAAATGATTATACATAATTATAATACATAACACATCGAAGACAATGAGCAATTCAGTGTTGTGTATCCGTATGTGTGTTTAAACAAAATAATAAAAACATCGTCATACTAGTGTGTGTTACACTCTAGGGGGAATCACATCATAGCAATCTGTTTATTTGGAGTAGATAATAGTGTCCATTAGAATGTGTCGGGAGGAGTTTTTTATACTGCCTCAGAATATTCAGAAACTCTTGTCAAACATATTTTGAATATTTCAATAACAATTTTCTGAGATTTAAATTATTACCCAATAAATATACATTTCCAACAAACGCTACGTTATTGAAAGAAAATAAATACACCCATTGGGAGCAGTACGTAGGATAACAATATATAATACTTCTAGATTAAATCCCATCATGGACAATGGTTGTGTTGTAGTACACGTGTCACATGATGACTGAAACATTCAGTGATGTATTTCCAAGATTCATTGACATAGTTGCGTATGCATTGCAGAAAACTTTCTAAAATAGTATTCATGTTATATGTAATCTAAACCTTTTCTAATGAACATTTCAATGATATCTTACGCCTATTGCATTCAATGCGTCGTTATGATACAGATATGCACGCATTGTAGTATTATTTCGCCGATTAGGCTGGGACAAAGATTGTATGTAAGAAGATATTATGTTAGAAGACTTTTCCCGCAAGCAGACTGTACGTACCACAGTGGGACTGTAGCTATAAGTACAACCATCCAGTCAATGGGATACCAAATAATCGTAAACACAAATCGTAAAATACAAATAACCATAACAATAAATGTCAGATACTCCGAAAGTGATTCTCTTAAAAATTACAATTAATCAAATTTTTCACCAAAAAGTATATGAATTTCATGTTTTGAATAATAACATAAAAAGTGAACATTCCTTCTCATCAGACATTAGTCTGTAACGTTTTCAGCGATGTATTGGTGGTTGCATTTGCAATGGCTGACGTTATACGTTATGCTCTCAATTCAATCGAACATTTCATTCAAACCAGACAAAAATGACAGTATAGTAATTTATAGATAAACTGCAATCAAATTATAATACATATTCAATATGATGTATTTCAGCAGGGTTCAAATAACTCGTTGATGAATGGTTTTCCATGCAACATACACAATAAAGTTTAATTTTTTTCAAACAAAATTAATAAATATGAATAAATATGAACAGATTCGAAAATAATTCAGTTGTGTTAAAATGAAAGTGTTATGGTTCAAATACGTCTGCGACAAATGTTAATTTTGACCATTTTACCTTAAAGCGGGGAGTCGTCATCTGCGCATGCGTCAGATGGCCATAGCGTGTCATTGTTTACAAACAAGCGTCTATCCATGAGCCTTTGCGTTTTTAAAGTGTGTTGTTATCGTCGCTTGGGACTCAATTCCCACGCGTGCGCATGTGACGACCCTCCCGCTTTAATTATTTGAAGCGTGCGTATTGTGTCATACGCTGCGAAGATGTTTTAGGTTAAGAGTGAGGACCTTACGACCCAATCATGACAAAAAACATGGTCCATGCGTTTGGAAGTACGATATGTATTCAGTTTGCAAGGTGGGATTATTAGCTATAAATTAAATTTGTGACTATGAAAGAGTCATCGTTCACTAATTTGTACTGCCTATAACATACACTTTAGCGCTTTTCTTTATATTTTCAGTTTGCAATTTGGAAACAAAATATCATTCATATATTTTTCTAAAATAGAAAGGGTAACTGTTCCCGAATAAATTGCCCATGACAAGTGTGTATAAAGCGCAAGTCAGTGGTGTATCATACAGCACGAAAAAAACAACATTTGTCCAGCAGCGTATATCCAATATTTTAATTGTCGGAATACTGGCTACTAAAGTCGGTGGTTCCAACTGAGCTCGTCAGTTGCCACATCAATCAAAATTAAATTACTTTAATAAAAATAGAAAGTATATAAGCAAACAATTCTAGTTCATCCAATATCCATGACAATTGGGCATATAATAATTGAGTTCTAGTTAGAAATGCCTTAAACGCAACTGCCAGCCGAGATTGTTGAATAGTGTTCGATCCTTCAGCGCCATCGCGTCTACGCTTATATATACCATGGATACATATGCCAAGGGAACTGTGCGCGCGATGATGTTAAAGAGTGAAGTCTCGCGGTTCTCGCTCCCAACGAGAACTCGGTATCCATTTGCATCTAAGGTGTATTGTTCCTGATGACTTTTACATAGCAATTTATAGATATTCCTTTTTCCCACACAGATTGCAAACAGTGTATATCGTAAGTATGATTCATCAGTACAGCGGACATTGATTGGCATATTTCAGATCAATGAATCCTTCGTTATTTTCTTGATATATTTACACTGTATTTATTTGCGGCGTGGCTAAGGAGGTCAGGTCAAATACGTCTTAGCCACTTCGTCTTAATCTGCATGGCGAAAACCATTATGTCACAATGTAATTCTCGACTGTTTGCTCGCAATGAACAATTAGTCAACAACTCATTGCCCGCCTCAGGCATCATTTCCAATAGATAATCATTCTTTTAATTCATTATTGTGCTGCAACAATTATAAATTGGAAATGAGGCTGAAAAACCATGACAACACAAACATACATCAAGCCACCAGGTTTTCTTTAAAAAAAAGCGCATCCATTATGAATATCAGTTTGTGTTCAAATGCATATTTATAGGGTATCTAATAATTGTTAATGATCTAATATATCAGTAATTTTGTTTCTACAAAATTCAAAGGAAACAAATGTTAAACTTAAATAAATCCCAAGGGTTGCCACTTGTGTTATTTAAATCGCGTCTGAACTCTTGCATATGTCGGTAATATGCAGGCTAATACGGGGTATGTGCGGAACATGCAGAAAAGAGAGTTGCATGCAGTGATCATGCAACAGAAACCATGCTAACAAAATATTGGAATAACGACAACCTTTCGGCTGGTGCATAGTCTTCTTGGAGAATGAAACAAACTAAGACAGTGTGGAAGATGGGTGATTGATGGACTGATTGGTCGATAGATGTTCGTTGCGGTGACGTCACAGGCGTCGCCATGTCGACATTATGAAGATGTAAAACAGATTGCCTTGACAACAGCGACAGAGGTAATAAGCACGTAGCGGCATGTGAGCCAGGGAAGATGGATACAGGCTACATATTACAGATGTACAGGTGTGCTTTTGGCGGCGTGGCGTAGGTTTACGTTGGGAAAGTTCCGCACTAAAAGAAAATACATAACAGGTAGTATTGAGTGACATATTACCGACAAAATATGATATTACAACGTTAAACTCGTAAAATGCAAATTAAACTTTGTTTAAATTTTTTTTTTTTTTTTTTTTTTTTTTTTTTTCAAAAAAAGTGCAGTTGTACAAAAAATACTCCAAATCCATATTCGGTATGTTTCGCAATACTTTATCAAATTACCCCCAAACAACTGATTAATATCTTACATATATTCTAAATTAGGCTGTATATGTATAATTAGCATAATATAAGAATTTAATTTAAAATAAGCTATATATAAACTATACACAGGCGAGACTTATAAAAATAGTCTCGAAAACGGAATTACGTATTTACTTCGTCCACTTATTACACAACATTCCACTACGGTGCTATATCGCGTAATATTTGCGACGAATATAAACCGCATGCCTGCTCAATTCAGTTTCCATTCATATGTCTGTCACTCTTTTTGACATAATAACTAATTAACTAATTAATAAATTTGACATAATTTCACAAGAGTTTCACAATATCAAGTAATTATCTCATATGTAAATTTCTATATAAGTATATTCCGAATATATAATTAATAAACACTTAATTTAGATGTCTATATATATAATATTACGAGGTGTCATTCTTAATATTAACATCAATAATTAAAGCTACAGAGCGGTGTCCGTCTAATGTTGGACGTGGACTATCAAAGCGATTACTTTGCAAAAGATTGTGGAATAACTAGCCTAATTTACTTGATCATTAATGCTCTTAAATTTGTGATTATACGTTGATTCCGTGTATCGGTGTATGCTTTTAACATAAATTAATTGGTGTGGTTTTATTGTTTTATCTTGTCGATTCGCGCTCGCATTATTCAGAATGGAATTGTGGCAAACAACTCTCTCGATGACTAGTATATTGTAATCGACCTGTCCTTGCTTTTAAAGTCTTCCTTCGTGTTCTTGCTACTTAGGAATCGCCCTCTACCGATGAGAATGTGGTATTATTGTAGCTGCTGCCAGCCATACCTGTGGATCTCAGTCGGGTGCTTCCCACTGCGCTGTAAGTTCCGACCCCGGCGGCCTCTGTCGTCTTTCCGCAGCATCCAAAAGCTTCTAAGAAACCCTGACGGAACTTCTTGTTCATGAAGCAGTAGGTGATCGGGTTCACGCAACTAGAAATGTAGGTCAGCAGCTTGACAACGGCGGCATCCAAGGCTGATACCGATGTGAGGGCGCTCTCGCTGTCATAGAAATACCACATGTTGAGGCACCATGAGGGCATCCAACATACGAAGAACAGTAATACGATCACAATCAGCATTTTCACAACTCGTCTCTTAGCAACGTTGCTAGATGTGCTTCGTGGATGGCTGTGCGTTCGGTTTTTTGAAGAGGAGCTGTCGCCGTTAGACTTGCCACGGGAGTTGTTTTTATCTGCAGAAGAAATAGACCACGAAATGCTCATTATAGACATTGCCTGTATATTTCGAAATGTACATTAGTGTGCAATAGTGTCGTGTTAACGGCAATAAAGATTACGCTTCTGGCGCTATCCGTTTATAATTCATTTCATAGTTGAACGTTATGGCACATCGAGTAGACCACGTTCCGTGCAACGTGACGTCATACCGCGAACAGAACACATTGCTTCAGGTGAATAATTTAACGTGTAAATATATCAAAACAAAAACTGAATTATATACTTTGGCTTTTATATATTTGTCGATAGCACTACTAGTACACTGTCGTTAGATGTAAACACGTAATTTGATTAATACGTAATGTGTTGGTCACATACGTCTAATCTAAACACTTCGTAAACCTTTCCGTTGGCCTCGAACCCCGGTCACTGTGACCTCCAACGTTCAATCATTCGCACCGTCACCTGACAAAACTTCAATATGACTATTTCTATAAATGAAATTCTAGATTGTTTGCTTTCAGAAATTGCACATTCTAATCGATCAATGTCGGCAGCCACGTACGGCGTATAGTAAACTTCAATCATGTCAGTTGAGGCAGACCTTGCTCAAAACTACTAAGGGGTCTTCCACAGGCAAATCACTAATTCGTTAGTCAAATGCCTATATTCCCGTTATTCGCCGGCAAGCCATGCAGTGTACATAGTCATGAATGTACCAAGATACTATATATTCTCGATCACATTAAAGATTGCCACCGCGGATTTAGCAGTCACATTTAAGAAACGGCTTAAAAACTAATTTGGTCGGACCTGGATCTTGAGAAATATTAAAGACTTTCACGAACAATCTTTGTCCATTTCATGCACTATTTTGATCATCTTTACTATCGATAAAACCAATCTAATCATTACTGGAATTATTTTCTAATCGCAATGACACACATACGCACACTTGGTTCACACGACGTTGCAGTATTATATGCATGTTTAAAGTATACATTACAAACATATATTACAAAAATTATATAAACAGACTATTTCCTAATTGTATTCAGTAGCAATTTCGCAATGCTTTAACCGTGAGACACGTTTCTAGTAATCACGTGATCGTGCCAACGACTGAGGCGAGTGGCTGATCGCATGTTTACTTAGAGCCTTAGAGTTTTATTGGAGAGTAAGAGAAGACAGCGACGTGTTACATTCCGTTGACGGTTTAGATGAATAAAGCTGGTTTATATGTAATGAACTTAGGTGTTCCTTTGGGTCGAAACTGGTATCTCTACGTGTAAGTGTTATCAGCCAAGCGATTCAGAGCTCCCTGCATACAACGCTTTGTTCACAACAATCTCAACAAAATTTAATATATACGCAGTCGAGACTCGGGTAAACCCGTGGCATATTTGTAAGTCGGGCGGATGAGCCGAATTCCAAAGTCAGCGCGCCAGCACAGTCATGTTGTGGAGAACATCGATATGTGAACATTAGTCTGTGTTGTAATCGTGTTGCAGTGTCTGTTTTCCTTCAGACAACTAATATTTATTAGTTGTCTGAGGTTTTCTTAATTTTTTTGCGTGTCATAATCTGCCACATAGTGTCGTGCGATATGCATAATTTAATTTAATTCAATTCAATTTAATTTAGAAACAAATGTGTATGTCTCCATACTGGCTACAGATCCTCTGTAAAGTTTTTTTTTCTAAAACAATGAAAACATTATATGGATTTTATTACGGAGAAATGCGACATTGGCGTTCGAAAGACATCTTCTTTTTCATTGATTGGATTTACATATGGGAACATAGGATTAATCATAGTGGCCAACGACATTATTCGGCAGTCGTTTAAGTTAAAATCTTACCGTTACCTGTTGGGCTATGTTCATTCTGCATACCTCTCCATAGCTCGACGATGATGAGGCTGTACGCGACTACCATCACAAGAAGTGGTATCACCATTAAAATAGAAAACAAACATGTCTAAAGCGAGCGAGAGAGAGAGAGAGAGAGAGAGACAGAGAGTATTAAACATGTGCAAATATAGCCAACTATTCATTTTGCTGGGCGTGGCGTGTTTGTTTTAAATAAAATATTTTCAACACTATATTGAATCAGAACCGCGGTGTTGATATGTTAACCAGACTCCGTAATCGACGAAAGATTATACGCTAAGTATCGTTAAATGTACCCAACAACTAAGGGACGAACGTTTGGATAAATTATAAAACTTAAAATCAATGCGTTTTGTATTTACGAATGAATAATATCCATACAAAAACAAAAGCAGATTCTCGATGTGGGGGGGCGCTCTTATTTACTGGCTTCAAGCGTACTATACTTGTCCATGGAAACCCGTTGAAAAACATTGCACGATGAGGGCGCTGTATTTTTCACCGTATAAATGACTGTCTACAAACTACCACATCCATTTAATGTCCATCCACTTTAAATATTATTTTTTTCTTTATATATGTATAACCGATGTCTTTGTGTAGTGTTACGAGTATGTGTATGGACTATTACGAAATACTTGGTAGGTGAAGCGATGCTATTTGTTCAGTCTCACATATTTGTTTCAAATGAAAGAACCCAGCTGGGGCAATAACCTGTATGTCAAGCTCCTGGCAGTGCGTTATTAGGCATTGTATTTAAAAATAAATTGCCCGTCCCAAATACGGGATAATTCATCGCAATGCAATGAATGTTGATAGTTAGACTCATATTAGGACGAGGCATTGCATCAGACACGATAATTTCTTTTAAAAAAAGTATCATGAAGATATCAATTGCTTTTGTTTTCTGTTGAAAAGTGAAGAAACAGCGTTTTTTTTTGTTTTGTTTTTTTTGTTTTTGTTTTTTTTATCTAAAACAGTTTCATCTCAAGTATCGACAGAATCGCTTCACACTATCCAGCCAAATTGTTTTAGGGGAGAAAACAAGCATTTGTACTTACAGTGTAGGCTTTATATGCCCTGGGGTCAGGCCACTCGTCTCTGCATTTGTACGTATGCGGTTTGCTCAGTGGTGTTAGTTTCGTGAAGACGACTGTCGGTATAAAGAGAATAAATCCCGTCAACCAGACAGCGCCTATTAACTTGTAGGCGTGGGCTTTTGTCTGCCAACCGCGGGAGGTGAGAGGTCGACATATTGCGAAGTATCTTTCCATGGATAGCGATACCATAGTCCACACCGAAACAAAAACAGCGACCACTGAAAAATACAAAAACATACTATGTGACCACAGCATTGAAAAAAAAAGAAAATGTGTCGCAATACCTGTTATGGACGCATTGTTCTTGAACACGTACGTATTTTCAAATTTCTTATCAGATCGAGAAGATGGAACAATATGTGTTGCCGTTATATTTGGAAAATTGCAAATACTAAATTGTTATTTCCTGTCATAGAAAGACAATAATATAAATACCTTGTATGTAGGGGAGTATACGGCAGAATCCCTCTCCGAAGATAAAGTTTTGAAGGATTGCCCCGACAATGGTAATGGGCATGCAAAACAACGCGAAAATCAAATCGCTGACAGAGAGACTCAGCAAGAATATATTAGTAACAGTTCGCATTCGTTTGTTCTGAGCCAAGGTCACGATAACTAAGATATTCCCCACGACAGCCAAGAGGAAAATAACAGAGTACAACACCAGCGAAAGCCTGACATCCATGGCAGGAGGCGGTGCTCTGGAACCATAGTGATGGTCGACGTCCACATCCACGTCCGTTCCGTTGGTACAAGTGTCATTATGTAAAGTTAGATTGCACATTTGAATCAAGCTTTTGGTTACATTTAACGTTGTCCCGTTATCACACATATTTAATAAAGCGTTCTCGCATAAATCCCGTAAATCGGCGGCGAATCCCGGGGTAGATGTTCCAGTCGCGTTCTCCATAGTTTCACTATACATTAATAATGATATCTCCTAAAATCAGGCATTTACGAGTTGTCCAATCACTTGATCCAGAAGTTTTTGCTGTAGGAAGAAAAAATATGTGTAAATTATCAATATATCTGCTACTATGCTACCGCAATTTTGTCGGATAGAAAGTGGAATGCCAAAAAGTACGACGATAATCGTTTTAGAAGCTCACTCGCTCGGCAGTACCACCGGTGTCAACGCTCAAGTCAATGGCGAATAGTTCCCTCTTTCAACTTTGCCACCCTGGAAACAAATTATTCAACATTTGTTCACACGTCTGACAACTCGAATAAAACTTGAATGCGACACCGAGCTCCAATTGCGCGGAAAAACGAATCGCCCCCGGGATAATTTTTTTTTTTTATGAGAACAGGACAAGGTTCAATCCGCCTGTGTATAGCATGGAAGTCAACTGTTGATGCCACCCGTCTTCCGTTATCGTAAAACTGTCGTAATTTTTCCCAAGTATTATGACGTACTGAGATAAACACAGTCGCAAATGTTTAGATTTGCTGTAAAAAGTAAGTGTTACCCTGACCCCCCTGTCAACGATGAGCCAGGGCGGCATGCATGCATTCTGCTTCGCATCTACAAACAACTAGAGCAATGTGTAGAGACAACCCACCTATATAAGAAGCCTGAGAGAACTGAAACGACCAACGCTACAACTGTATTCCGATGTAATCGCATCAAGGCGCTCTCCGTCAGTTTGCAAATTCCGCCGCGATTATCAGATGCTGGGCTCGACTGAATGTCTGTGCGGGTGGACACGGCAGTGGCGTATTAAAGCATTAGAAAGTAATTATAGAACTCCCGCACACTGATCACGTGAAAGCGTGACGTCGCATCTGATGACGTCGAGTTCCGTATCTTATGCATAAACAACACACCGAGGATGGGAACCGAATTATATTGATCACCGTCTATAATACATTGAAGCGGAAGATATAGCCATTGAGCCTCTTCCGACAATATCGCCATTATGCCACTTTATAAGGAATTTGTATTACGTGACGTGGGACGAATATGAGGGGAAAAATTAAACCAACGACAGAAGGATTTCACAGTTAATGTTTTTTTACGGAATAATAAGTCCGATTGCTAGATTGCAGCAAGGGCGAAAATAATACCGGTATTTGTTTTGGTGTGTGAGGGGGGGGGGGTAGTGTGTGGAAAAAGTAGGTTGATACGATACGATACATTGTGGATTAGCTGGTTTCATTCACCATCATTTCTAAGATTGTCATTATTTAATTAATGGTGAAAAAAGTACTGGTCAATAAGACCACAAACTGTTGGTCGTCATTCATTTCTGCGAGGTCAAGTGTATGGAATAGACATTTAGGCGCTGCGTCATCATGTATTGTCGTATTTCTGTATCTGTCTGTTCCCGTTGATAAAGCCGTGTTTGAGACATCATTTCGGGGTGTCTTCTTTATTCGGTCATGATTGTTGTATCACATCCTGTGGCATATTTTGTAATTTCATATTCTGTTCATCAGTCACTACAACAAATTCTGAACACAACCAAATACATATGGAATACCAAATATATATGGAATACCATTCAATGTCTAATTGTGCTGTCGCGCTGTCCATGTACAGTAACATAATCCGATGAGCAGATTCGAAAATCCTGATTGTTTGGGGTTTGTTGTCACAATATACTGAGGCAGGCTGTTGTAGCGGTACATTCCCAGCCTTGGTATATATAACCGCATCTGAGTTAAACTTATTAAATACGCGATAGCTCGCCTCCGCCTCACACTGCGGCGCTCGGTAATTACTTGTACATGGGCGTGTCACGTGCTCTTTATAAGGTCAATTTAGTTGCTTAATTAAACGATGTATGTTGTCATGTATAATCTAGACGTCTAACCGTGATCCCTCTCTCACACGCGACACGGCAGCCTTTCCGTTAAAATGATGTGCAATTTGCCAAATAAGCACCACATTTAATCTAATTCAAAGTGTTTACCCTGATTCGTATTGTATGAAAATGTTCTTTTTTCGCTTTGTGAGTAAATATAATTGAGTGAATATCAACGCGATTAATTCATCACAATACAAAGAACGCCCCGTGGGATACTGCCGTTTTTACCTCATTGAAGTGTTTTCGATATGGGTCCCATCCGACGTATAAAACGCGTGTAAAATACACTATTTGCACAAAATTAGAACTAGCGCGGACGTAGCGATTTTACTCAACCTTTGTATTATACGAAACGATGTCCAAAGATTTAGGAAAAATACACCGCTCCACTTAAAAAATAATAAATCCAGGCAGACAACATTATCGCTCAAGCCCGTTCATAACTCTAAACGTTAAACGTAACTGCGTCGCTGATGTGCGGAATTATGACAGGAGTAATTGTAATATATACTGGACGGTATAATTTCGTGATGAAATGTCAAATTTAATAAAACGAAATCGCCGTGTATGCTTAGACGGTGTTCTGTAGACGACGTATTAACCATAATAGGCTATATTGTATTATTTGTGTCGGTTTTATAGCTCATGAAATTTTACGACATTAAAATGGATCCGAAACTCTGACTTATCCTTGTAATAAAACCTTCTTCGAATCACATATGTACTAGTATATCACACCATAATTTAAGATGCGCAGTTAGTGGCATATTACAACTGAACAACGTAATGGTCGGTATAAAAGAACGCACGAATATCCCAGTAATGCAAACTCTCCAATTACTTCCACGTAGAACATTTTTACATACTGATGAACCATAGATTATGATCTTGAAATGCAAACATACATGCACGAATTACTCCAGAGCTTCTATGCTTAGCTCACCACATCGATTTTTATACATCGCGAGAGGGGATCTTTCTTTGATGAACGTTTTTTTTTTGTTTTTTTTTATACCGAGGGACCAATAGCAAACGATAGCTTACAGGAGGGGGATTTACAAGAGGTATACATATGCGTTGAATATACTACCATTCCTGATAGTAAAAAAACACATTTAATTTTGAAAAGTAAATATATTGCGTTTAACGGTTTTACCAAACCAGAAAGGTTGATATATACTACTATAATAACAGCGGAGTGGTTACAATCACAAAGGTTTCTTTCAATTAGTATATGTATTGTATTCACGATATAATAGTCGTATGATGTCAGTATCTGATTTAACGTCTTATAGTTTTGCTGAAAAAAATGAAACACGAGACATACGGTTACCGGTTTGGATTCCATTATACGTATAACGTCCGCAGTTAAGACTCTCAAATATCCCTACTAAGTTTGACACGTTTCTATGAGATATCTAAGAACTGTTTATTATTCTTAATACTTCGCTATAGCATGTAACAGAAAGACATCAGCGTAAAGCGAATCGGGGTAATAAGTGATTGTAAGTCTGTCACGATAGTTACTGTTAAACATTGCGGATTTGTTATTCGTCTCGATTTACTTTAAATGCGCCATTGAACCCCGTAAATGTGATTCATCGTGTCATTTTGCGCGTCAGAAGCCCAAACCACAATACCATATAGATTGGGTACTTATCTGACGCTAACGAATCTGATCACCACAAGTCAATTTCCTGGATATCACTGCAAAGTCAATGGCATAAATTGATAAACACGGGATCGCCTCTACGCACGGAAGTACATCCAAAACGAACCGCAGTCGATTCTAACCGGAAACTCCGATAAACGGCGACATCTGCGTCTACCGCAATAATTGTGGCTGATTGAAACGCCGATGGTGGATGTTTTCTTATGCATAAATGCGTTTGTAACTCGGCGGTTTGGACGATCAATATGTATTCTTATTATAGTAGGGCGTTTTTTTTATATTTAACCTTAATCTCCCTAAATAGACGACTTGTACGTTTTAGTATCACGTGTTGTTTGTGTTCAAATACGTCGTACATACTGCTATCCCGTTCGATACTAGTCGTGCAAAAAAAATCCTTTGAAAATCTATCTATAAAACTGTGTGACGATTGAATATTTAATTTGAAACACTGTAAAATCCTGGAAAAGTTGCATTTGCTTGACTCGTTTGAGTGTGTGAACTTGACGGTGACAGTGATCACCATTCATCAAGTTTTAACGAACCTAAACACGAAGTTTATGATATTTTAGGATCGTATATAATCCGACCTATGGATTGAAATGAGATCTGCTACAAATCCCGCTATGTATTAAACTTATTATATATTTTTTTAGTATTCATCAGTGTTGTGGGAATTTGAGAATAGTTGAAATATACACACACGAGCTATTCCATGAACCTTGATAGATGCAACAAACCGTAGACAATTACTCCAAATTGTAGCTATTTTCTGATTTGTAACAATAAAAACATAACTGATTAGAAACAAATTGTTGATAAGTACGCCCTCAAACCATCCCTAATCGCCATGTTTCTATACTGGCTAAAAGCGAATATAACTCCAGATGGGGTTTAACATCTCCAATTCTTATTACATATCTCTTGATTCACACACTTTTGATTCTCCTCCCGTTATCGAATAAAATGTGTAAAGCAGAACGAATCGACGTGTCTATTCTCGCGTCTTGCGATGCGAAGAAGTAAATGCTTCTCT